TACATATGAGTAGTCTTTCTTACCTTTTCTTGCTATCCTCTATTTTCAAGCTCACCTATTTTTTTGGTGTGCATTAAAAGGGACACACAGTCTAGTACATAGTAATTTCCATTGTGAAAAAGAAAATACATATTTTTTCAAAATTGAATTATTGTGCAAGTAGTAGCAGAAAAACATTATTGTGTTCCTGGTCTCTGCAGTGCCAGACTTGCTTTCATAAACCAGCAAATATCACATTGCCTGGTGAAGAGAGGCTCACAGTTACAAACTAAGTGTTATTTATTAGAAATTAGATATTTTACAGCACTAATATTATTGGTGCAAAAACTGCACTTGCAAGAGACTGCTAAAAAAACAGAATCTGAAGAAAATCTGCAGGATTGTTCAAAAAGTGATTAGAAAAGGTTTATCAACAAGCCTGACTGATGTTACCTGGATTAGCTTCTGTCTTTTCAGCAAAGCTTTTACCCCTGAAAAGAAGGAAAAATCCCAATGTCCTTTCTAAGTCAGATCAGTTCAAGTGACCTGGGATAGCAGGAATGTCTGCTATGGCTGATTTTCAGAGCCTCATGTTTGAATTAGTGTTTTAGAACAGCAAGCATAAACATCTTGCACTCTGAAAAAAATCTTCCAAGTGAAAACATCAAAGCAACCTACAATTATGAACCAGCTCAGCTAAAGCTTGTTCCTGTAAATTTGTCTTGCTGTTTCTTAAAGTACAGTGAGCTCACAGAGAGGTATTACAGTTGTGATGATCCTTAGAGAATAAGAATTTTGCTAAGCTGTTTCCTGGAAAGCAAGTAAACTGACAGGCAATTTTAATTCTCCTTGAGCAGAGCTTTACAATTGGATTTGGTTTTATTATGAATTGAAATTCTTTTTGCAGAGGTAAATGTTTATTTAGCTAGCTGAAGATATCAATTGGGTCCAGTATGAGGCTGGAAAAGAAGCAGCAAAATAATATTATGTATGTTTTTACTTTACATTCCTTTATTTCCTTTAGCAACACCATGTTCTGAAGACATTTGGATAGAAACTGAGGAATAATTTCCTTTTCATCTCTCCTCTCTATTGGCCAAAATGACCAACTGTTACCTCTCAAAAGACAGAAAGGGACGTGAAGGCTGAGGAACAGAGAAGCCATTATGGCAGAGATAAAACAATTTAAAATGTCCCTTATTGGTTTTAGCATTCTATGGCTGGTGCTTGCTCTGAATGTGCTGGATCCCTGCCCTCCAGACAGATGGAAAGGCTCCTGACAATGTTAGGAACAACGTTCTCCTCATAAGAGCAAATTGTTTTGAGATCCTGGCACTAACATGGTTAAAGAAGTGATCTTATATGTGACCTCACCAGAAGAGACAGGAAAAAAGGTACAAATGCAACTGTGAGGTACACAATTGATAAATCTCCCATTTCCCCTCCTGTCCAGCTTCCATTTCTCCTGCTAAACCACTTCTCCTCCTTGCTGCTGCTTCAAACTCCTCTTCACACTCTTCCCTATTCCTCTACATCCCATTTCCCTGACTAATCCCCTTGGCCTCTATCTCACAGATAAACTGTACTACCAAACTTGCACTAGCCAAGAAAAGGAAATGGAATGGATCCCCAGTTTCTACCCAAATGTTCTCAGGGTACACTGCAGTAGACTGTCCTACCACGGACACCCGCCAGAAAAGTGAGTATCTGTGGTCCAGCACTCACATTCCCTAGATGAATGTTAAAAAGAAGCTGCAGGAAATTAGAAAAAATATGTTCACTAGCTGTGAAAAGCTGATGCAGAAAGGACTCTTTGACTAGAGGCACACTGATGTATTATTTGTGAAATATGATTACATCTGCCTTTTATCTTTCATCTTGTTACTCAGTGATAATTGACTGCTCAAGGCTGGCACTCATTTTTAATTATCCCCTCGGTGGAAACCCAGTAACACGCTCTGCAATTGCTCTCACATATCTGCATGCAGCATCTGTAACACATCATCCTTCAGCTAACAACATGCCCTCTTCTTTTTCTTTACTTCTTTTTTTCCCCCTCTAAATTAGCTGTACAGATTAGTGCAGGGCATTTCTCAAAAAAAAAGGAAAAAAAGGAGAACATCAGTGAATCAGTGAACACAGACTCCACTGAATGTTTCACCATTCATTAAAATAACTCATATTTGAGGTCTGCCCTGCTGCTGTGTCTTGGAGATTTCCATCTACCTAAGTAGCTAATTAATTTTAGAGAATTAAGGATTTAGTAACTTCTTGAGTGCTGTGTCCACACAGCTGTCAGGCACAAGCTGAAATAACCATCCTAGGTCACCTCACAGTAGGAACTCTGTCAGAGCTTCACTGTACCAATAAATACGTAAGGAGCTCCACTCAGTGGCGAGACAATGTATTTCCAACTCTGACATATGCAAGAGGAGAAAGGAGTCTCTGGAAATGTAAATATGTATAATTAACACATCTACTTAATTGACTCTCTGCATTATTCATTGTAATCATAGCACTAGAATCAAAACATTTTACTAAGACAGCTTTATTGTCAGCAACATTTCTGACAGAATTCAATCACTGGAACATGATACACAGTTGCCCTTTTAAAAACAATAAAACTCAGTAATATCTCATATTTCTTTTTTATTTTAAGCTTCCATTTGTAGGTAATAACTTTATTTCATCTTCCCTTCTTTTTCTTGTACCATGTCTAGACTTTCTTGAAAAACTGAAGCCTATTTCACAGTTCCTAAAAAAATGGAAGCCTATTTCACAGTTCCTCCTCTATTAATAAAGTAGCTAGAGAGGGTTGTGCCCTCTGAGAGCACAGAATTAATTTTATTTTTTAAGAATTTTATTTTTAAGCAAACATATTCAGACTGTGGGGAATAAACTATTTAAGTGGAGGTGCTACCAGGTAGAAAGTCCTGGTAGAAACAGTCTGATTGAATGCTGAGTTAGGCTTAGCACCAGCTTTGGAGACTTTAAGAAAAAATGTAGACAGGTTTATTTTCAGAATTAATTCCTTATGTTCTTAGTCTTATTTTCCTGTAGTTCTGCTTGGCCTAGTGGGATGTCTAGATTTTATAGGTTTCCCATGTCCATAATTTTTCTCCTTTTCTGATTTTCAGCTATTTACTGGCAAATTTGAAATACTTTTGCTTTTCTCTGCCTGTTATGGATTTTGTGCTGTCCTAAGTGGATGTCATAAGCTTTGTGCAGGTGGAAAATCATGCTCCATTTAAGAGAAGACAAAATCAATCAAAGCTATGAAATCATTAAAAGTAAACTTCCCCAAACACAATCTCCCCATTATTTCTCTTTCTCAACCTTGAATTCTAAGCATATAATTTAAACTTTAAACAAAGTTTTTCTTTATACTGTCCCTTAGGATAGTATAAAGAAAAAGTTGACATCAGTTACCAGGGGAGTTTTAAAAATGTAAACCCAAACAGCATTTCTAGCAAGGAGACTATGCTCAGATAAGATTTTGAAAAATGTAAATGTAGAAGCAATAAAATTTTGTTTGGAAAAAATCCAGAAAATCTTAACGACACTGGAAAGGCCCACGCGGCTCTGTGGCTCTGAAAGGAAAAACTGTTGATCTATGATACAGTGTCAGTATGCCTGAAAATGAGTCATGAATTTACAAAACCTTTAGGAGTTACTTCTGAGAACCCTGGGGTGAGAAATAAAATATCAGAAGAATGTGAAATACGGTGCCTATATTTTAAATAAAAGAGCTGTAGAAGTCTGCCGTTAGCTCCAGCTTCGATTTTTGTTAATGATTTAAATACTTTTCCCAGTTGTAAGGCTTAAGAGAAAAAGATGATTAAAAGATGATCCTGCCAATCATTCTGATTCCAGGTTAGGAGAAACACCACTCCCCTCGTCTCTGAGTAAGGGCAGTGACACATTTCCAAGTGCCATCCTTAGACGCTTCTGAGGGCAAGTCCACACAGCACCATCAGCTTGTCCTTGCCATAAAAATGCCCAAACAGGCGGGTGCTGCTATCCCTGAAATTCCTACATCCTTCAGGGCTTTCCCATCGCCTTCCCGGCTGGAAAGGCTGATCAGTGAGCCAGGAGGGGAGCTGGCCCTGCAGAAAGGGCTGGGCTTCTTTTTGGCAGGAGTCACTTGCTGCTGGTTTAGGAGAGGGCAGGGCACTGAGGGACCTTGGTCACAGCCCTGGAGCCACCTGTGGATGGATGGAATAGTGAGTTCTGTTCAATATTTGTTCAATGGCCAGTTCTGTTCAATATATTTACTGATGACATGGATGAGGGTATTGAGTCTTTCATCAGTAAATTTGCTGATGACACTAAGCTGGGATCGTGCGTCCATCTGTTGAAAGGTAGGAGGGCTCTGCAGAGAGAACAGTTCAATGGATAGGCAGAGTCCAAAGTTTAATGAATGAAGTTTAATAAATCCAAGTGCCCAGTCCGGCATTTTGGCCACAATAACCCCCTGCAATACTCTGGGCTGAGGACAGTGTGGCTGGACAGTGGCCAGGCAGAAAGGGACCTGGGGGTGCTGGTGGACAGCAGGCTGGACATGAGCCAGCAGAGTGCCCAGGTGGCCAGGAAGCGGGATGGCGGACGGGGATGTGGTCACTATTCCCTGAAGGAGCGGGATGAGGGGACTAACGGGACAGCGAGGAGCTCGTTAATTCCCTCGTGGAGCGGGATGAGGGATGAACGGGACGGGGATGAGCTCGTTGTTCCCTCACGGAGCGGGACGAGGGATGCAGAGGACGGCGAGCAGCCCGCTGTTCCCTCAGGGAACGGGATGAGGGATGCACGGCTCCCTCACGGAGCGGGCTGAGGGATGAACGGGACGGGGAAGAGCTCCCTGATCCCTCACGGAGCGGGGTGAGGAACGAACAATTCCCTCACGGATCACACGAGAGGGGCAGCGCGGGCCCGTCCCCCTGTCGGGGCGGTGCTGCAGCGGCCGCGCCCCGCCCGTGACGCGCGTCCGCCGGGAAGCGCTTCCTGCCCGTCACTTCCCCCGCTGCCGCCGCCGCCGCTCCCGCCGGGCCGCCGGACTCGTGCCCCTGCCCAGGCCCCTGCTACCGCCGCCGCCATGGCCATGAGGCAGACCCCGCTCACCTGCTCCGGCCACACGCGGCCCGTGGTGGACCTGGCCTTCAGCGGCGTCACCCCCTACGGATATTTCCTCATCAGCGCCTGCAAGGGTGAGCGGGACGGGCCGCTTTGTTCGGGATCCTCCGCCCCGGGGGTGGGCGCGGGGCAGCCCCGGCGCTCGTAGGCCGCGCATCGCCGAGCCGGGGGGTGGCGGTGGGGCTGGAGGTGGGTCCGAGGGTGTCCTGGCCGCACTCGGGGCGGTGACACCGCCTCGGTGTGCTCTGGAATGGCGAAGGGAGCGGACAGCCGGCTCTCTCTCTGGTGCTTCATTGCCGGGTTAGCCCGGGGGTGTCGGAGCCCGCATGCGCCCGGTCGGGATCCCGGCTGCTGAGGGGGTGGGAGTTCTCCAGAATGGCTTGTTTGTAAAAGTTCCTGTTTCCATCGCCTGTGGATTTAAAGCGAGCTCCGGTTTGGCCAGGGCAGCTGCCTTGCCCTGCTGGACACGGCGTGGTGAGAACTCTGCTCACTGTGGGAATAGCGTTTTATCTTCGTGCATGTGTATTTTAATCTTTTGCACGCATAAGTTTTAAATCTTTTTCTGCCTTGAAGGGCTTCCACAGCTCTACATCTTGTGTGAACAACTCTTTGATAGCCTTCCAGAAAAAACAGATTATAGGAAAGGCTTTCTATTACTACTTCATTGTTGTATCACTCTATGTTTTAATCATATCTCTCTGCATCCATGAGACGTGTTTCTACATATTGATGACTTCATAATATTGCTCCAAAGTAAAAAAAAAAAGCAAACCAAATCTGTCTTAGCTAAAGAAAACTTTAGTAAAAATGAAACCTAAATGAAATGTTCCTTTCCACCTTCCTTCTATCTTAAGACAAAGCATTATTTGAATGTAGGTACAGTTTAGATGCATGCAGCAAGTACAACTGCACATGTGAACTCATTTAAATGGGTGAACCCCTCTGCAAAGAGTGGTTTTGTAAAGTATGGTGTATTTCCATGCACTGGTACAACAGAATATTTTTTCTTCTAAAAAGCTGCTTCCTTCTTTTACTGTGTTACCTGACTGCTGGTTTTGTTTCTGTGAAGATGGCAAGCCCATGCTGCGCCAGGGGGACACAGGAGACTGGATTGGCACATTTCTGGGTCACAAAGGGGCTGTTTGGGGTGCCACCCTGAACACAGATGCCACTAAAGCAGCTACAGCAGCAGCAGATTTCACAGCGTAAGTGATACACTGTTTTCTTGGTCTGTGTTTTGATTTTATTCTGTAGCTCTTTGGTGACAACAATCTGTACTAAATTACTGATTCATTTCTTTCTCTTTAGTAACTGTGAGCTTATTTTTGGCCAGCCAAATTAAAACCTAAATTTTTACCTTCTTGAAAGTAGCCACAGTTAATTGTGTCATGCTGAACAACTATGATTGCTTCTTGATGTACTTAATTATACTGGTTTACTTAACTTTTCTGTGCAGCTCTAATCTCTGGCACTGTAGTTATAGCAGAGCTGTATTTTTATTTTTCATCTAGCAATTAGCCTCCTTTTATTACATGGAACTTCTAGTGAATTAGTTCTTCCATATTTTTTGCTGTTTGTGCTGTTTACAGTATTAATGAATATTTTGCAAGTTGAATCTTGTTAGTAGAGGGCAAGTTTTATTAATGAAGTTGCAGAGAGGGGCCACCTTTGTCTTCAAACTAAAATGTTAATTGGTTTGCATGGTCCTGAAGAAGAGCATAAAGGAAAAGTGGTGGGATAGTCCAAAAAAGCTCTAGTAAAAACATATAAAATATTCTTATTGACTAACTAGGTTATAACTTATAAGAATGTTGCACTTAGGATAAAATGATGTATCAGGAAAGATTGCTTACAAATTCGTCTGACTGTCCAGGCTGATTTTTGCTGCTGCTTCTAAAATATGAATATTTCCTCTTGCTGTTTAGCAAAGTGTGGGATGCCGTGTCAGGCGATGAACTAATCACACTGGCTCACAAACACATTGTCAAAAGTGTGGATTTTACACAGGTATGAGAAACCTTTGTACTTTATTCACGAGGGAAATAAGCTCTTGAGAATGTTTTGCTATTAGTTACTTTTTTGCTTTTTTATTGTATATCTTAACTGGTAAATAAAATACTGCTGCTTGTTTTTAGGATTGTGGGGTTAATGAAACAAGTGTGTTAGAGGCTGTCTGAGAGAAAAAGCTGTGATTTTAACTCACAGACAAAGGCTGTGTTTTGATTCAAAGTAGAGTTGACTCTCTATAACTTCTGTTTCAGGATAGCAATTATCTGTTAACAGGTGGACAAGATAAGCTCTTGCGTATCTACGACTTGAGCAAGCCAGAAGCAGGTGAGTCTGCTCTTCAAACTGACTCTTGGGGGCTTTTTTGAGTTCAATAAAACTGCTGAAATTAAGGGACTGCTTTCTGTTATGAATCACTTAAGAACAATGTTGAGGGTTGTTTTACAAATGTAATGTCTGTGACCTTTTGGTATATAAGGATTGCTTGGGGTTGGAGATCACCTGGTTCCAAACCCTCTTCTATGGACTGATTAAAGCCCTATCCAGCCTGGTCTTGCACACTTCCAGGAATGAGACATCAAGCAGAGCATGTTTCAGTTCAGTGCAGACACACTAGAAATTGGACTAATAAATTAAAATTTAGTCATCTGAGTGAAAGACCAACTCCCACATATTTAAGAGTGTTTAAATTCATGTTGATACTGACCTGTTGATGGTTGATAGGAGGCCAGAGAACATTGATGTTCACCTAGTGAAATTTTTGAAAGGGAATCAGATACCCAGTTTGCATTTATCCTGTTCCTGGAATAAGATCTACAAATAAAGTCCTAAGTGCTTGAAGTAATTCTACAGTCTCTAGTAGAGGGAAATCTGCGCAGCTTAAGGAAGTCCCCAAACTGCTGCATGATGTTATTTCATTTTATTACATGTATTAAAATATTTGGCTTTCTTTTAAGAACCTGATGTTGTCAGTGGACATACTTCTGGCATTAAAAAGGCCTTGTGGAGCAGTGATGACAAACAGATTCTTTCAGCTGATGATAAAACTGTCCGGTAAGAAAAGTAACTTTGGGTTTTCTGTATTGTCATGCTCTGTGTGAGGATGAAGTTGTGTTATTTTGGAAAAGGATACAAGTAAGACAGGTTACCTGATCCTAGATTAGTGTAGCTGCAGGCCTGATACAGCTCTGTTCTGCTATCAGAGATCATTTTGGTAATAGTTCTAATTTCCCCATAAGTGTGTGCTCATCACAGATGTGTTCTCCCTGATAAGGAGAGTTGGTCTTTGAGAACTGCACAAAACAAATGTATGCCTTTTGTAATCTTGAAGAAGATGAGTTTATAGATGAGGTCTCTTGCATGCACAGTTATTGGAATAGGAATCCCAATATTACCAGTTAGATTGTGCCTGGGCCAGTCTGACCCTCGCTGCTGGGCCAAAGGCAGCAACTGTGGTGTGTCACCCCAGAGATACCTTTGGCTTGCTGGAGATTGCAGCTGGGCACTGAACAAGTCCAGGCTTGTTAGGAACTCTGTTTACCTCAGGAGGAAAGCTTCAGGCGATGGTGAAGAGAAAAAGGAGATGGATTCTGCTGGAGGGTTTATATCCAGAGGTTTATTCCATGGTTACAGAGGTCTGAATGGTAGTAACAGCTCCAACAGAATCACGACCGCATGGTCTCATTACCTTTTAAGCTCCTGGGACAGAGGAGGGGACAGATGGGCACCAACCAGGTGAAAGAGGCAGGGTCTCAGGGGAGGATGACACCCAGACAGGCCAATGACCCCTGGGCCTGAGGGGCATCCTTTGAACTTGACCAACCGCACGACGCCTTGCTGGAATGTTAAGCCTGATTGACAGGACTCACTCAGCAAGGGGCGAGGGGGAAGAGGTATAGGCACACCTGGGAGGTGACCTGGAAGTCTAAAATGGGACATGACAGCACACCGCAACACACACTGTCCTGAGCTACTGTTGCTTTGTCTTCTTCACTTTCCTAGTGTTAAAGATAGGCTAGTCCTGTTTGTTTTCCTCCAAATTGTAGGAATAGAAATGCAGCAGTCAGCTAATGAATAGAGATTTTTATTTGTCACATCAGCACTGTTTAATTTCTGCTTAGATACTTCTATACTGCTAGATATAAAACTTTATAATCCTCAATGAACCTCTGTAAATTGGGATTAGTACCTCTTTGTCTTTTGAAGTAAAAAGACAGAATAGACTCTTCAAGCCTTGCTTCAAGATCTGTTGCTTAGAAGACTTAAATCAAGATTTTTAATCTCCAGGAGAATCACTGAGTAGTTATAGTGTGTATACCATTTAATGTTGTGGCATTAAGCTGCAAAAGTAAAAGTATTTTAAATAAGGGAATATGTGTTAAGCCTGGCCTAGGTGAAATAAATGCAGATAAAGCCATGGAAGATCTGAAATACCTGTGGAATAAAACCACATTGCTTGATGGGTGCCTGTTTTAATGCAGGTCTTTCCATGGATGTGAGGTGGAAATTGTTTGATTTGCAGAAGTCTGAGAGTCTTTTTTTTCCCCTTTTTGTTTCCTTTTAAGCCTCTGGGACCGGAGTACCATGACTGAGGTGAAGTCACTAAATGTGGCAATGTCAGTGAGCAGCATGGAGTATGTTCCAGAAGGACAGATACTGGTGATAACCTATGGGAAGACTATTGCTTTTCATAGTGCAGAAACGTGAGTCCACAACTCCCAGTTTTCACAGGTGGAGTCATGGGTGTCTTGTGGGTAAAAACTGGCTGTGCAAGGCCAGAGTCACCAAGCTGTCAGAACTGGCATCTCTATGATGTTTCAAGAAAGGAAGTTACATGCTTAAACATATTCCAGAAAGTAGTTCTGTATGTGTGAGCTTTTGTTTGGCTTACTCTAAACTCATTTCTAACTTGACAAGCATGATTTGCAAATATCAAAACTTGTTTCAAAACTCTGGGGTTGTATTTTATTTCTGGGAAAAGCAGTTGAGATTAGTAGAATCCAATTCCATTGCTCTCAAGATTTTTTTTTTTTAATATGAACTTTGTTAACAAACTTTTCTCCCTCAGTCTAGAGCAGATTAAATCATTTGAAGCACCTGCTACAATCAATTCTGCATCTCTTCACCCTGCGAAAGAATGTTTGGTTGCAGGTGGTGAAGATTTTAAACTCTATAAATATGACTATAATACAGGAGAAGAATTAGGTATGTTTGTCTTCTATAATGATAAAGGAGTTCTGAAATAGGTGTTAATAAAATAATGACCAGTAAATGAAACTGTTGTACTCAAATGAGGTCTTAGCAGAACATGCTATGTAAGAGGATGATAAAGAGGTATAATGAGTTAAACATTTTTTGCTATCTCAGATATTCTAGAGCTAATTAAAACATCCATTCAACAATTCTGCCTCTATTTAAAAACAAATTCTCATTCTGTATTGCTATATTAGCTGTATGCTGAATTGTCACACTGTTCATTAGATATATCAGTTATAAGATTTTATGAAAAATATGATGTGTTAGCCATATTTGTTCTGGGAAAAAACCATTTACTTACGGATCCAGTCCTCATTTAAAATTGTTTGTTTGTGGAAGGAGTGGTTAAAGGAACAGAGCATGTTTACCCCGTGCTGCTGGCTTGCTTTGCAGTTTTGTCTAGGATAACTAAACACCTTTTTCCTTGCAGTTAATGAAACATCAATATCTTAATTATTAAATGCCTAAAGTAGCCATTGCTGACACACCCATTCATTCATGGAAACTGTTTTGTATCAGAAACTGATCGGTTTGTACTTAAATTTCAGTTGTTGGCTGAAATTTGAAATTGACAGTGTTGACGTGTTCCCTTCAGAATCTTACAAAGGGCACTTTGGTCCCATTCACTGCGTGAGATTTAGCCCCGACGGAGAGTTATATGCAAGTGGCTCTGAGGATGGAACACTAAGGCTGTGGCAGACAACAGTAGGGAAAACCTATGGCCTTTGGAAGTGTGTAGTTCCTGGTAAGTGTGGGCTGGCTCCTGGGGAAACTTGGCAACTCCTTGTGCACCTTTGAAATGATCTATCATTAGTGGTAAACACTGTTTCATAGAGTAAATCCTCTCTTCTGAGGGTTTCTGATCTACTCATATCTGTTAGGTTGAAGGATGTATTTCTGCAGCTGTTGTGTAAGCAGTTAACATCACACCCATAAGCTTTTTGAATATAGACACTTTGTGGGTATTTAAGCCAAGAGCCTGATGTATTTTGTGTTAAGGAGTGAGAAATATGTGATACCACTTCTATAATTCTGAAAGAGAGACTCTCTAGAAGGAAGTGTGGTAGTTTCAATTTATATTATACTCTGGTTCTTTCAGCTTGGGGAGAGGGAGGCAACAACAACACGTGGATATTCATTAATAGAATTGCTTGCTCAAGTGTTTTTCCTCAACATTGAATTACATGGAAATTAGCTTTTTCTCTTTTTTTAATTAAGGTGAGTGAGTGGAACTGAAGGTATTGACTGTTTTTCTGCTCTTTTTCTACAGAAGAGGAGAATGCAGAAGCAGCAAAAGCAAGGACTACCCTTCCAGGAACTGCAGAGGAGGAAATAGGTAATGAACTGAACTGTCAGCTTCAACTGCTCCAGTGTTAAAAGAGAGTCAAGATAATAGCATTCCTTAGTGTGGAAGAAGTACTTTCCCTCAAGTGTTTTCTGGTATTTTTCAAAAGATCTTTGAATGCATTTGCCTGACATTGATTATGTGATAAGTGTCAGACTGGAGCTGTGCAGGCAGAACAGATGGGGTAGAACAGCTGGGTCAGGTTGAATGGGCAAGCAAACTGAACTGGGCTCTTTAAGCAATCCCTGCAACATTTCCTTGGTTTCTATCTCTAAAGTGAAATTAAATAACACTCTTTTTATTTAGTTGCAGAAGAGATTGCCTCTGAAAACTCAGATACAGTGTACAGCTCAACTCCTGAAGTGAAAGCCTGATTACTGCAGCTGTTATGTGACACGTGGACATGCAAGACTAAATCAAGTGAGCAGTGACAGACAGCAGCCTTCCAGAGTGCGCTCCCTCCCTGGGGCAAAGATGGGCAGTAATTGATGAGAATGCAGTGGAACTGGCTAGGTGTTGTCTGTAAGAGAACTCAGCATCCAAATAAAAACCCAAAAGACAAGTAGTAGAGTTCTGCTGGCTTTTTGGCATAACTGCCTACTGTCTTTTCAAAGAAGTGTGCAAGCCAAGATCCAGTCTCTCCAATCTCAATTAGACTCATTGTAGTGTGTTTTCATTATTACAAAGAAGAGATACAATGGCTTTTACCTTTTTTTTTTTTCCTTGGAAGTTGGAAGAATTGGCTCTAGTTGAAAAGAAGGGATTATGTACTTAAAAGTATTTGGTTCGGGTTTCGTTTCATTGTATGCTGCTTCTGAATGTTTAACTGTTTTCAGTTGTCTAAATAAAAAGCCTCTCCAACTTTTGAGCGTTGGGTTCATGAAGTGGAAAAGCAACTGCATTAATCACGTAATCCTTGGCATCTTGGGTTTGTACTATACAGAGAGAAAGCAAAAGAATGTTTTAGTGTTGGTACAGAGGGTGGCAAGTTCTTTGATCTGTAAGCTTTGTATCTTTTTTTATTCTTTCAAGTTTGAATGTAAACATGAGTCTCTAAAAAGAAAAACAGTGAAAATTCCTAAATTAAACGTGCTGCCTAAAGTATTTGGTTGTACATGAAAATATCAGAGGCTGGCTGCAAATCTGTGTAAAGCTTGGGTTTAGTCCTCCAGACTGGATAAAAAAGTTACTCTTTCAAGGTTACAAATCATATTTTCTTCATTAAAGAAAATAATTGCCATTCTTCCACTTGTCATTTCCTTTAATGTTATGCTGAAAGCTTTACATAATGCATTCTGTGAGGTGTATTTATTCACACACCTTTTTTTTTTTTTCCATATTCATACCTGTCCTTACTGTCCTGTTTTTGCAGGCTATACCTATTTGCAATTACCTATTTGAATTTTATTCTAAAAACAAGCAGCTCTGATTTACAGCTAAATGGTTCAGCCTTGCTAATTCCACTAAGGCTTATGAGGACTACATATCTAGTACTGAGCATAAAAATTTTAATTTAGAAATTGGATGTGTTTAAAATGAGCGTTTTTGAACACCTTGCTCCATGGAGCAACTTCTTGCATGCTGTGGATTTTATTCCATATTTGCAGTAGGTTCTATAGCATTTCATAGGGAGGTCTGAAATAGAATCTCAGAAATGAAGAAAACCTTTAACCTCAAGTTCAGCTGTTAACCTAGTTGTTCCCAAGTTCACCAGAAAACCATGACCCTTATTCTACATTAAGGGATGCATAAAAATTAAACAGATAATAGTCATAGAAACTTAATACTTTAGTAATGGCTACTAAAATACTGGAAGAAATGAAAAACTCCCAAGAAAACTAAAGGACTGTTACGAGCAAGTGTTTGACAAATCACCAGTAAGGGTATTAGCAAAACCCAGATTTAATATTAAGCGACAGGACAGCAAAGTTCATGGGCAAGATTCACTTTACTACTTACAGGACAGTTAAAGAACAGCAAGGAAAAACAAGCAACAACAAAACCAAACAAAATCTAGGCAATCAAAACAGAAATAACCTGAGTACTGTTAAGAGGGATGTGTGTAAGTGGCAAAAGGATAGTGAGAATAAAAAGAAATAAGCTTTTAGGCTTTACCAGCACTCAACAGTAATGTTAACTTGTACCTTAATCCTAACAATTTAACAGGAACAGTGCTTAACTTAAACCTAACTTAAAAATTTACCATAACAATTTAACAGAGGAATAATACCTAACAGCATTCAACCTAATTTAGGACTTAACCTTACTTACAAGCCTAACTTACTTAGATATCTAAGGTAACAGTGTTTCATCCCAGGCACAGTTAGAAAGTGTGAAAGTGTGGGAACAGGGATGTGCTGTTCGGGCAAGAAAATTAATTTCCAAGGAAAAATAATTTCCAAGGCTGTTCCTAAAGAAAACAAGAGCTCCCTAGACAGCAGCAGTTCCTGGAAGCAGACAGTATTTCTGATGAGCTCGAGAGGAGCTGAGCCCAGTGCTGTTTGTCAAGGCCAAGGCATCACAAGTATTTCTTAGATGACACTGTGGCCTGGAAAAGGAAGAGGAGGAGGAGGATGCACCGCCACAAGTACTTGAAAGCTTGTAATTTTTGGACTGCTAAAGTACACAGTGCAAATGGTATCTATACTTCTAGAGAGTCTTTCAAACCTTTGCTTCTCAAAGCACACATGCAGTTTTGGTATGGGAAAAGCAAAAAGGAAAAGTGTCCTCATGTTTCAGAGCTATGGCCCTTCCCTGCTTTACCCGATGCTGTTGTGAGTTTGAGGTTTCTTTAAGTTGGAAACTGTTTCATCTAAACGTCAATATTAACAATGTGCATCATATTTTTCAGGAGAATTTGTGGGCTTTTTTTTCCAGATCTGGAAAAAATGTAAAGGCCATGACGTTTTCAGTGGCTTTGTCACCAGAATTTCATTCTATGGGTACCACTAGAAGTTTTACAGGTTGGCAGGTTTGTTAACCCCGTGTGTACGTGCGGCACCAGCTCCTCCTTGAACCAACACGAAGACACTGAACAGTGCCTTGACTCATCCCCAAGAGCAGGTTCAGCCTTTCCAAAGGAGTGGAATATCCCTGAGGAAAGGAACATGCCCGCAGCAGCAGGGCCGAGGCGCGGCCGAGCCGGCCCGGCGCGGTCCCCACGTGGCGGCGGCGCAGCTCCGCGCCCGGCCCGGCCCCGCCGCTTCCTGCCCGAGCGGGGCGGGCCCGCAGCCTGCCCGGAGCTCCGGGGGCGGAGAGCGGGGCCATGGCCGGCCGGAACCCGGGCACCGAGCTGGGTAAGGGGGCGGCGGGGCCGCGGGTCCCCGGTGGGCGCTGCGGAGGCCCGGGCGGAGCGGGGCTGTGCCGGGCCCCGGCTCCTCGAACCCGGCCGAGCCTCCCCCGGGCGGCTGCGGGACCGCGTTCCTCTGCAAAGCCGAAACAGGAACAGCCCTGGGATTCTGTGGGTGTTCTGACACATCCCGTGATGGGGAACAGGGAGGAGGTTTTGAGACTGCGGGTTAAACGCGAGTTTCCGTATCACACATGGCTTTGGCTTCAGGGTTCCGAGCAGAGGTTGTAGGACAGCTCTGTATCCCTGGTCCTGTTACAAATTCCGACCTGCAGGGTCAGAGATTGCAGGATAGCCCCACAGCCCTTGTCCTGTCACAAAACCGGACCTGGTTCTCTCCTGCACACCGTTCTGGTTCTGACAGGATTCTTCCTCCCCTCTTTCCCACCAAGAGATTAAAACCACTTCATTTGGGCTCTGATTTGCAAACTCGAGACTCCACCTCTTCTGATCGTTCTTGTTGCTCGCTCTCTGGGGAGTGGTAAGGATTTTCCAGGTGTTTGCAGCTGGTCTCCGGGTCTGAAAGGTGTCTGTGCCTGAGATAAGTCAGAGAAAGGCTTTCTCTGCCTTTTCCTAGCTGGAGCTGCCTTTCTCCTCATTGCTGGGGAAGGGCAAAGTGCTACAGCTTCCTCAGCAAAACCCAGCTGCAGCAGTGGGATGAATTGAGGCGGTGAGACTTCCTCCAAGGTGTGATAATTTGGTCATTATGAGTAGGTGGACAATGAAGTGGAGGAGACACAGGGGTGGCCTCATGGAAGAGGGGGAGCAAAGGCCAGCTGGTGTGGAACAGGCAGGTCTCACAGCTGGCACGAGCAGAGTTCAGGAGATTGTGCCATCACGTGCCTGTCATGACAACAAGCACAGGCACTTTTAAATGATTAGCCTGTGCATGGACAAGGGAGAGCTGTGTTTCCATTCACTGAAATTGTGGAAATGTTGCAGCTTTCAAAACTGAGCTGTCTAATTTCTCTCTGATGTCCTCGTTCATGGGCTGCTTGTAGGGACAGGTGAGTTTCAACTGCAGCCATCCAAAGAGCTGAAACAAACATTAATAATGTAGTTGACAAAACATCACTGTTAGGAAAAACAGCTAACACAAAACTCTGCAATGACACTGCAGTTACTTTAAACTAGGGGTGTGCCATGCTTTTTCTTAGTAAATTCAAGCTTAAAATTAGCTGATGTGTGGGGAATCCAGAAACTTGAAGTCAGCTCAGTTCTGATACTTGTTGACATCTCTTCCCAGGGATCTTTGTTTAAATCAGTTGTGGTCAAAATGAACTGTGTTAGATATTCAGGGCAGGTGTGGGAAAGGCAGTGGTGTGGCTGTCACCATGTTTAAGTGGCAGCTTCTAGCATCTGCCTTATGCTGGCTGCTTTAAAGAGAACTGCACCTTTCTGCCATTTGCTCTCCCACTAAATACATATCTGAAATACAGCAGCATACTAAATGCAGCACTTAACATATCTTAGTGCTGTATCTCAGCTGGTAGCAGTACTCAGAAAGAACAGGCTAAACCCTTACCTTTATCTTTCATGGTTGTTAGCAATACTCACTGCTTCTGTCACTTAGGCACTTCAGCTTTTGAAGGTTTTACAAGCCTGTGCCAGCAGCTTTAACACTAATTCAGGTGATTTGCCCTGTTTCCCACACAGCTTTGTGCAAAATTAGAGTTTTCTAACAGGGACATCTAGTGGTAAAATATATTTTACTTAAAAATATATATTATTTGTGTCCTTTTCTGTTTCTGTGCTTGCTACATAATGTCAGTATCAAAGCAGGGGGTCTCTGATGTTGCCATTAGAGAGGGTCTGTTTGTTTACCATTGACAAGCCAAACTCTTCACCAGTCGTGGCATGTAGTGCTTTCTTGTGTGATTTTTTAAAAAAATAAATACATTGGTGTAAAATTCCTGGATTCTTCCCGCCTTATCCCCTTCCCTCGTACCCATCACTGTGCCTTAGCAGGAGAAGGTTTTTTCTTGGAATAAAGAACAGTGCATGTTCCACAGATGAAAAGACCCTGATGTGCACAGTCAGAGGGTCACCAGCCTCATGCACTGATACATTTGCCATCCAAGAGTGGTGCAAAGAAACTGGACAAAGAGTTTTACAAGTTTTCCATTCCACAAGGACTGTTTGCTGAATTTGTGTGCTGGGGTTCACCAGGATGCCTGCAGGGATTGAATGAATCTGCCTCTCCTGCTCTGCTCTCCCTGGGTTATAACAGCCCAGATGTTTAATGTTTTGTCATGCTTCAGAAGAGTATCAGATGTAATTTTTAACATCACTTCACAATGAAATAATGGAACATATCAGTGAGTATCTGTTTTGGAAATGCCAGCTGCTTTGGTTTAGCTGTGGGGTGCAGACACATGGGACACAGGGACCATCCCCTCTCTCCAGCACTTGGAATGCACATGAAATATTGGGTCCAGGTTCTCTTTCCTGTGGCATTCACATTCTCTGAAAAAAATCCCTTCACCCAGGATTTTTCTCCTAAGCAGCTGAGAAGCCTCAGAGAAAAGGAAAACAAATTCTTATCTCATTTGCTTCTCTTGTGTTGTGCTCATGTGGAATGTGTTTGGAGATTGTTCACCCACAGGTGATTGTTTCATTGGATTCTGCTGTGAGTTGTTTTGTCTCTTTGGCCAGTTACAGCCAAGCTGTGTCAGGACTCTGGAAAGAGTCAGGAGTTTTCATTATTATCTTTTTAGCCTTCTGTAAGTATGCTTTCTGTATTCTTTAGTATAGTTTAGTATTCTTTAATATAGTATTATAAAATAAAAAATTAGCCTTCTGAGAACATGGAGTCAGATTGATTATTCCTGCCTTCGTTGGGGCATTCCTAGCAAATATATTTTTTTCCAATAGGAAAGAGAGATTGATAAGAGAGAAAATCTGGGGCAGAACAGTCAGGTGCTGGGTCAGGTTGGGCTCAGAGAGGCTTTGCAATCTCCATCCTTGGGGACTCTCAAAACACACCTCTGTGTGTCTATGTATGTCTGAATATACATCTATACACACGGACATATATGTATGCATTCTGAGCAATGAGTAATTAGTTGCAGTTGTTTTGCAATGTACTTGGATTCTTAAAAAACCCCATTATCTATCTGTGTTGCTTAGACCCTCTAGCTGAAGGGCCAAAAATACATTAATTATGTTTCAATTTATATATTTTTAATTTTAGTTGGTATTTCTGAGCCATCTACATGTGAGAGCTAGCCTGTTGGTAAGTGGCATTTAAATAATGAAGTGTTACATCCCTTTTCAAAACAGCAAAATTCTGTTCTAATATATTAATAGCTGCTTTTAGCCTGTACTGTGGTTCTGGTTCTTCACTGTTCTAGCACCTTTTGAATCTGGTGGGTAATTTTAATCAAATTTGAAGGACAAGTAGATTGTCTTGGAAATAAGTTAGGTGCTGCGTGGAGTGACCAAATCAGCTATTTTGTTGAGGGAAAGGCAGGTGCAGATCAGAAATTACATGGATTTTCATTGCAACTGTTTTATTTTGGCCTTTATGCCATTTTACTCATGGTTGTAAGGACCTCATGAGGACAGCTGGGATTTTGGGGTGAGGAGATGTCTCAAGAAGAGAGGGAGCAACAGGGGACTTGGGCCTGCAGGAAGCCAGGTCCTGATGTTCTGTGTCACTTCCTGAGGAAAGGCTTGTTGGTGGCTCCCAAAGTGCTTTGCAGGAGGACACCATGATCCATTTTGTGTGATCCATGGACAGCACTGTGTGATTTCACTGATGGCACAAGGCAGAAGAGCTGATTTCCAGCTCAGGGCTCATGCTTTGATGTATCTGGATGCTGATAACTCGGAGACTGAACTTCTGCCATACAAAGGAAGACTCACATGAAATTGAAGATCTCTTGGTCCATATCAAGTGTCTCTATGGAAAAATAACATTGATTTCTGTCTTGACAGAGCTGAATAACCCCCAAATCTCTAAAAATCTTACATGGTAAGACATCTGTAACAAGACGAGATCCCAAAGCCTTTTCTGTCCTTTCAGTGGCTTTGCTGAGCTCTGTGTGGCCAGCTGGGGTCAGCCTGTGTCCTGCTGAGCTCCTCCTTTCTCCAGGGAAGGCTCAGGACACAGTTTGAGTCTCTCCTCCCGAAATAACAGCTTTCATCACTTCCCTTCCCCGATTGATGGTGTGCTCATGGTAAGAGCAGGAGCACACATGCTGTTTCTGGCACACAAAATGAAATAACCACTTGAGGGGGGCAGCTCCTTTTGGGAGCAGTGCTGCCTAAAAATGCTTGTGAAACTATTGCCTCAGGCGTTCCTGAGCTTTCTGTTTCGCCATCTGAAGGGATGCCATCAACACGTTTTTTTTAAAGCTTCTCTAAAGCTTAGTCTGTTTCATGAGGAATGTGTTAGGAAGCTTAGATATTTATGTAATTATCCTAATGAAGTGGTTTTATTTATTGTTTTCTGAGGAAATGCTCGGTATTTTTGGATTCGTGTTCTTCAAAGAGAGTAGATGAATTTCCTGTTAAGGAATTGAATATGATTTTTTCAGATGTCTTCAGAGAAAAAAGTAAACTAGAAGAGTGATTACAGAATATTGGCTAATTAGCTGTAGTGTAACTGCTTTAATTACTTTTATCCCTGAAGCCACATGACTGTGCAGATGACTAGCAGATGACTTATTTAAAAAAAAAAAAAAGACATGTTCACACTGCAAGGTTAATGAGCCTAATTAAATATAGTTTTCCTTAGCCAGATACTAAATCATAAAGCTTGGGGGAATGAGGGAGGGGGAGAATCCAAAGGCAGTCAGTTCTATTTCAAAAAAATTGTTTTATTCTGATATTTAATGAAAAAAAGAGAAAAGCTGGAATTGTGATGGTTTTTTCTGAATAAAGGCACTTAGATCTAAAGATTTGATGAGACCTCACATGGCAAACTTTGAAAGTCTATTTAGAGACAATTATGCTGAGACATATTTGTTTTCACTTACCCATTGCTTTAATTAATGTAGGAATGGGCTTGAATAAAAGGTCTGTGTTATATGGGAGTCTCCATCTGCTGCTGCACATTACCAGAACCTTTGTCCTTCCTTGCCGTGCCATTTTCATTGCACCCTTTTATTTCCTGTAGTAAAAGCTGCATGATGTCTCACATTAAGTTGTACAGAAAGGATGGAGTTCTGATTTTTTGTTAAATTATTCCTTTTTTTTTTTTTTAATAAATTTTCTGCCTGTGCTGTGCACTGTGGTTTGAGTTCCCACACTCAAAAAAATACTTGGAGATCCACATTCTGTGGTCTTGCAGGGACTCTTGCATCCCATGCACAAAGATGAGATATTAGACATTAGTGAGGTGCCATGTGTACCTTTGTGACTAGCCTTGAGAGCCTGAGAACAGAGGGGAAAATGTGTCAGACAGTGAAAAGGGCTCAAACCAATGGATTTTATCCTATCTGCAAAAAACATGCAGTCAGCTATTGCTGATCAGCTGATATTTGGTGACTTTCACAGGTGACTTTGGACAAAGCAAAGGTAGTAGCTCATTTCCACTTCTATTCTCCTTCCACACCTTTTCTCCAATTTTTTCTCCTTTCTCCCAATGGCTTTATAGTTGTTTATTTCCTTTAAGCTGATCTAGTGTGCAGGGCTCTAACATCTTAAAAAAATTGTTTAGACCTGAGTCAGGATGCTCAAGAGTCAGGTTGGGTAGATACAACAGCTTTATCAGACTGAATCCTCTACAAACAATGGCTAATGAAGAATTAACCTACTCATGGGTGAAATTTGTGTTTTTTCATTTAAATTTTCATCTCAAACTTGAATTTTCCCTAACAGACTGGACACTATCTTCACTGTCTTCACTTCTTCACTGTCTTCTTCTTCCAAAGAATTGTTTTTATAAATAATTTACTGATTGGTTTTCTTAGTTGTTTCAAAAGTGTAGAAAGAATAGGTTAGAGCAGACCAGCTGAAAGGATCCTTATTAGAGAGCGAGAAGCTGAGTTCTTCATCTAAACTGCTTACTTCGGTTTTGTCACGTTTTCCAAAGGGGCTGAAAGGTCACTGTGCATCCAGGAGGGTTCAAAAGTTATTATAATAAATGGGATTATGATTAAATGATGCTACCTCAGTGCTTGGCACAGGTAGCAGAAGAATCATAACACAGTTTGTGTGTCCGTCCTCTATATATTGATTTATGTGTGTTTTCCTCCCCCATGGACTTTGTCAAATATGTCCTGATAGGCAAAAAAACGAGGAAATTTGTAGCCATGATTTTTGTAGCAATTTTTTCCCACCTGCTTTCTACAAGTCAGCTGAGCTGAGCTCCTTGTTTTGGGGGCAGAATGGATAAACCTGTGGCTTTGATATTGGGAAGAATAGCAGGGGTTTGTCTTTGACTTGCTTGCAACTTTCTAAGCTTCCCCTTTTCCTTGTTGCCATGCAGTGAGTCTGATGCTAAAAAAAAAAAAAATCCATAAATTCAATCTTAAAAAAATAAATCCATAGATTTTATAGGATTCCTTTGATTTATTTGTTCTGTTTTTCGCTAACAATTTGTGGGTACCACTCACTTATAGTTTGTATGTGGTAATAGGACAGTGGTACCTTACTTATGCTCAAAACAAGATTTTCTTCAGCTGTTTCATGTTGTCCTGCATTTCCTCTGAGTCATCTTTACCCTAAATTGGTTTTTGTAAGTCTAGGAAAACAAGCTTTTATTTACACATACTTTGGCTAGTATGTTAGTTTTCTACATTTTTTTGGCTATTAAAGCTATTCAGTAGGAAGAAAAAAAAGTATAAGATTTCAGTACAAAATTAGTGATTTTGTCTACCAGCTTTTTTTTTTTTAAGTTTTAAACATTTTTTTAATAAATATGCTCAATGTGGAAATGCAATTTACCACCGTAGTAAAGAAGATTCATAGAGTGACATGTTCTTAATAAATTCAGTCACCCAGAATTATTATCTCCTAGTACCTGTCTATGCCCATGTCCATATTCTGACCTTAACTGGGGGTGATATTTGATGATTGATGGTGGTGATTTGCTGGCTAATGATTGTTGCTGTTATTTTCATGGAATGCTTGTAGATCAGTATTTAGAAGAATTATTTACATTTTGGGATGTGAGAGATTTTAAAGACACTCCTGTTTCTTTTTCCTGTGTACTCTGAGCAGCCTGTATTTGTTAATATTAAAAAATACACTCTGGATTTACCATACTAAGCAGAAATTTAAAGATTTCAAGAGCCTGAACCCTCAGTTCTCCTTTTTCAGTCAGTTACCCATTGTTAAGCAGTGGCCAATATTTGGTTCTTCTGGCTCCAGACAGTTTCATTCTTTTAGTACATGCTGTGCATCTGCTGCTCTTTGGGAATTCTGGAATCTAGAAATAAGCCATCAAGCAGTGGCAGAAGGCTGTTTTGTAGGGATTTTTGTGGGTTTTTTTCATGCCACATGTATAACACACCTATATTTAAGTTTACAAGACAGTGTCTCTGTCTCATCAGCACTCAGTTAATTCACTTGAATGGCACACAGAATATACTGTGTGAAATATCCAGTTCACAGATCATCCCCTAGCAGAAGTTGAGGTTATTTTGGACTGGTGATAAGTACACAGGGCCATTAGAAGGACATGAAAGCCCAACACTCTCTTCAGAGGCTCCAAACTTTCTACAGCTTTCTTCTGAAGTACCACACCATATATTAAAAGAACACAGAAATAGATGAGCCTTTTTTTTTTTTTTTTGTTTCTCTCCCCAGAACTTGGCAGGATCTCAAAAGTGTATGTGAATCGACCTGCAGTGGTGAGGCATGCAGAACAAATTAAAAAATGGAAAACTCTGAAAGGTAATTGGCAAGTAAGTGCTCTTCTTATGCATTCTGTTCCTGTATTTTTAAAGCAGTCACTCTCCCTCTCCAGGCTGTAATATTGAATTTTTTTCAAGATACATGTAAACTTAAAAGATGTGCTTGTCCATGTCTTATTTTAGTAATTTGTATTTGATGATGATGGGATGGAATAAGGTGATGCATTTATCCAAACAAGTTAAAAACCATATAACTCATGACTGGCAAAACTGTAAATGGATTTAAGTCATCTTTATTCATGAGTGGATTAAATTGTGTATTACTATCCCTCCACATTTATTCTGTTTTCCAGACAGACTTCTCTGCATGCTGCCTTCTTATTTTTTAATTTTAAAGCTGTAAGATATGATCATGGTCCCTGTCAAATTTGACCTACCTGGATGATTTTTCTTTGCTTAAACATTCTCAATGTGTGTGATTTCATTGCTTAATGAGTTTTTTTAGCTAAAACTCAAAAATCCTGACTGGCTGTGGCATTTGGTGGGGGGAAGGAGCCCACTAATATTAGGAAAACTGACTTTTCAGCTGCTGAGATAAGGTAAATAGTTGGTTATTGTCCATCTTAGTATAAAAAGACAAACTTTTTCTCCGTTCACCATTGTTTTGCAAACAATGCTTGGGATGCCTCCTCTCTGCACTCTGAACAAGCTTTTTATGTGCAACAGTAGCTGAAAACCTGAAAGCAGGAGGAAGGAAATGATGAAGGATCAATCTTCAGAGTGGAATGTAACAGAACAAAGCAAGAATCATTTAATTATAATAAATTCTTTAAAAAGTTGTTCAAAATAGTTGAAGGGTGTCAGAAGCATCCCTCCTCTGTTTGAACATTGTCACAGCAGGGCAGTCATGTGCTGTTTTCTTAACAGAGGTGATTTTGAACCTGTTCATGTTTCAATGTGAGCAGCATCACAGATTCAAATCCCGTAGCCTGTTTCCCAAAATACCCAATTGGAAAACCCTTTCAAAAACCCTCAAGTTTTATACCAGTTCTTGAAACCCCCTGACTACATCTGTCGTGATGACTGGGATTCATGTCATAGGAGAGGAGATAAAAATTCTCAAAAATTCCCTCAAACAGAGGATAAAAAATCCAAGTAAAAGTGACATAGAACTATTTCTAGGGTAAACCCCTTTCAAATAATTATAGGATGAAAGAAGGAAGCAGAAACAATCAGTCAGGCTCAGACTAACAGAGGCCAGTGATGTTTCCTTACCCCATTGCCATTGCAAACTCTCCCTCTGTACAAGCGTCCTGTAAGAGGAGTCAGCTTTGAGGGAAGTCATCACTGTAAATGAGCATTTTCTGGAAGACCTTCAAAGATAATTCAAAATAATGTCTTAAGCTCAAGTTTTGTTCAGCAAAAAAAAAAGCTCATAAAATTTTTAGCTATGCTTCAGTTCCATTCTTTGATTAATAAGTCTTTTACAATTCTGAAGCATTTCCATCTAAAGAGTACTTTAACCTTGTCATTTACCTCTTGCTTTTGGGGTTTTTTTTTTGCACCAAAATTACAGGTGTTTGTTATTTCTGATTCACACAAAAAGAAGTGGATCCTTTTGAGGAAGTATCCTCTGTATCATTAAATACTGCTGAAGACATGAACAAATATCTGCCAGCCTGTCTATCCTAAGCCATTATTTGCTTATATGTTACATCCTATACATTTCCCCACTGTCAGAGTGAGAGCCAGGCTCCTGATTCCTGCACTTCTAAGGCAGATTGACCTTGGAATTGCAAACAGAAATGCTCCATTCCTTGCTTTGTTCCCTTTGCAGGCAGCCTGGCTGCTGAAAGCTGTCACCTGCATAGACCTCACCACTCTCTCAGGTGATGATACTCCGTCAAACGTTCAAAGGCTGTGTTTTAAAGCAAAGCACCCCATCAGAGAGGATCTGCTCAAAGCCTTGGACATGCATGATAAAGGTATGGTGGCTTTTGGGGTGCGTATTTTCTAGAGGAAATGTCTGTGTTTCCTCGTTATTGTCTCACTTTTTGGAAAAGACCTTGGTCCACTGCTTGAAGTAGTGTAGGCCAAAGGGGGATGGAAGCCTTACACATAAAAAATCAAAGATTAGTCTTTTTCTAAAAACTTGGATTTATGGACTCTTCAGACAGCTGAAGTATGAAATGTGAGGTCAATTATCTGAGAGCTGGAGAGAAGAGCACTTTAGCTGGAGATGCAGGAGGGCTGCATTAACATAAAGACTGCTCAGTTGCTGCTGGGCTCAGTCTGGCTCCACAGGTAAGAGCAGAGCTTGGCAGTGCAGTTCCTCTTGCAGCAATTTGCTGATCAAGCATAACTGTGATCAAGTCTTAACTGTGTTGGCATTAAACTGTGAGTCTGTCAATAAAAACTTTGGAGTCTTAACTCCTGCTAATGCAGACTTGCTCCAAGGGTCAGATGAAAGAATATGAGGGAGGAAACCTCACAAGAATTACCTGGACCATTTGAGCAACATAACAGACATCCCTGGTGTGCTGCTTAAATCCTTGTGAGAAGTGGGAGTTGAGGACAATGCAGTGTTCATGGAGAAGGTGGAACTCTCTGTATGAAAAAGGGAACTGTGGCTTTTGCTTTTGCAGGTATCACTGCTGCAGCAGTTTGTGTGTATCCTGCAAGAGTCTCTGATGCTGTGGACACCCTCAAAGCTGCTGGTTGTAACATACCAGTGGCTTCAGGTAAGCTTTATTCAAAAATATCCCATTAAATAATCTGATGCTATAAAATACATAGAGAAATCCAGAGGTTTGGACTTGCTTTTGTGTCAGGCAGTAAAGTGAAAAGGTAACAGGTGGAAGGAAGGCAATGGAAGAGAATTTTCTTCTGGTATAATCTTTTGTAGTCTTCCAACTTCAGGCTTATCAGCAATGCCAAGTCTTTTTGCTGGAAGCTCTTTAAAGAGGCCTTTAAAATATATCCGTGTTTTCCTCACCTGGACAGAAGAAATTGAGGTAGAGTGCTGGACAAGTATCAGTATTCACTAAGTAGATGATGGTGATGATGTGAGTTGTAATAAAGGTTTATTTCCCCTATCATGTTTGGCTTTTAAGTGTAATCCTGTGTCAAAGTTTAGCTCAAGGCAGCAACTTGTGTGCCACACACTCACTCATACAGCCACTTTCAGGATGGAGGGGAAAAGAGAATTATAAGAGGAAAAGTGGGAAAATTTGTGGTTTCAGATAAGAGCTGCCTTTTAGTGCACTCCAGCCCACTCACCAAGAGAAGCCTCATAAATAAGCTTTGATTCTGTGCTGCCACTACTCTGCACTTACCAAACCATCCCTGGAGAGCCAAGGCTGTTTCCTGCACAAATCCAAACCCAAACCCAGCTACAGTGAAGATAACTATCCCAGCCAAAAGCAGCACATCCTGCAGCCTGACTCCAAGGAAGCTGTGAGCAGAGCAAGGGGTTGTTGCCTGCTGAGCAGGTTCAGGACTTTCACACCCAAAATCTAACAGGGTCAGCTCTTCTCCAGTCATCACACATGAGGGACAAGTCCTGAATGTGCAGAAATCAAGAAGTACAATTCAGGTTGGAAGGCAGCCCTGGATGTGATCTGGTCCAACCCCCTGCTCAAAGCAGGGGCTGATTTTGAAGTTAGATCAGGTGTTAAATGCTAAGAAACATGTGAGTTTTTTGTTCTTGTTTCATTGTTGTGTAGGGGAAAAATACATACTAAATGCATTTATATGTCAGAGAGAAAGACAATCTCTGACAAAGCCATTATTTTTTCCATTTCCAAAGTTACCTTTGAGTTTTGTACTTAACCATCATAAACATCATCTTAAATAGAACTCATTGAAAGCAATTTTTGCTATATTGTGATTTAACCATTAAACAGCATTATTATGATTTAAGTCAAGATACTACTTAAAAGACTTGGAGAAAATTAAAAATGTATATATAGCTTCATATCTGAGCTCCTTGTTTGCTCAATCTGCTGGAAGCAATAGGTATTGTGCTTTTATCTAGGTTGTTCTGGGAAACATCAAGGCATGTGAAAGACCTTTTCACAAGATGCACTAGCCTTGCTGGACATTGGTTTTTGAGGGTAGAGCCAATGTTTCTTATTGGTGAAGAGAGAGTAGGATGAAGTGCCTGTAGATTTTTAAAATCATGGCAAGCATTGAAAAAAAAAGAATAATGTTCAAGCCTTTTGGTGTATTACTGGTATTTTCAATTTTATTGTTGATTTCTAAAACTTTAACACATTCATGGAACATTTCTTCCTTCTGCCTGCACCCTTTTCATGCTAGTGGCTGCTGGGTTTCCAGCTGGACAAACTCCTCTGGAGACCAAACTGGCTGAAATAAGGCTGGCAGTGGAATACGGGGCCCGAGAGATTGACATTGTCATTAGCAGGAGTCTGGTGCTGACTGGCCAGTGGGAAGGTAAGTAAAAAAAAGTTTAAAAAAAAGTTAAAAAACCCCTAAACCTTTCTGTATGCACATGCAGGGTCTGTCTTTGTCTCTTCCCCAAATCTCTCCATCAATCCTTTAAGAATTTGGTCTTTTCCCATCAGAGTAATCTGGGGCTCTGAGCTAAATAAAAACCATTCAATGAAATTATGAGAAAGGGTTGCATTTTTTGAGTCTAATGCTGTTGGAAGTTGTGGCAGGCTGGGCAGGCAGAATGACATTTTGGTTTGAAAATTCAGATCGATTCCCTCCGTGCCTTTAGAGGATTTTGTGTACAGCATTAAAAAAATAGCAACTAAAACCCTAATTATTTGAAGAGTTTTGTTAGAAAGCCCAAGGGGCTGCTAATGTAGATGATACCTTTTAAAATATACATGTTTCATTTCTTGACGAAAACACGTATTCTAGTTGTTTTCTTTTTGCTGAAAGTTGAGGGAACAAATTGACTGTTCATATTATTATTGATGTTCTGGCATCTGTAGACTACTACTAATTAGTAGGAACAATAATGCTGAAGATGGTTTTTGCTCTAATTGCATCCTTAATGTACTGTGAATGGCTTGCCTTAAGTGCTGACAGTGCTCCTATAACTAATCTCCATGTAAAGGTAGACACATCATTGTCTTGGAATGAATTTTCCATTTAGCTGTATAATGCAGTGCCAGAATATCCTATTTGCTTGGCAGACTTTATAATGAAGCCCTGGGACCTGATTTTATTTAAGGAAATAACAGAAATAATGGCAATAGATTGTGTTTTCTGGTCTTCTTGCAATTAACAGTTAGAATTGAACCAAACACCCCACATGTTTCTGCCTCTGTCTTCAGGACTTCCTTGTTGTGATATCTTGGTCTCTTTTGTAGTATTTGCAACCTCCATACTTTTGGTCTTAATAATTTAAGGATTAATAACTTTTTTTAAAATTTTAATATATATAAAGAAAAACTCTGAGGAGAAATACAGGGCTTGCATTCAGAGAGAGAGTTTGGATCATGACTGAAATGAATGGGATATGAATTACTCTTTGTGGTCACAAATTACAAGGGAGGAGTACACAGACACAGCGATGATGGATGTGATATAAAGCTGTCACTTTACTAAATAAGTAAAATAGGGATGACTTTAATTTGGTGTGCATATTCTTTTATCCAGAACTGAAGTCTTGACAAGGTTGAAAGCCATCCTTATTTTACATATATATATTTAAAAAAATATATATTTTAATATATATTTATATATGCACATATAAATATATATTAAATATACATGATTGTATATTTTATATATAATATAAAACAATTATATATATTATCTATATATAATAGAAAATATATTATATATAATTAATATATTTACATCCTATATAAATATATTGTTTATATTATATAAATATAAAAATAAAATACAAAATATAAATATATGGTTGTTTTCACCAATGGCAGAATTCAAATTATTTCTAAATGATTTCCTAAGTTTATTTATGCATCTGAATCTGTTTGTGACACATGTTTATATGATCTTGAAAAAAAGCTACTGCAGGGACAGAATTTACTTGCCATAGAGATGCCACAAGGTGAAAAATTACAATATTTAACTTTCCTATACAAAAATAAAGGTATTTTATTAGGTGATCTGGATATTTTGGTGAAAATCTAGTGTTCTATCTTCCTGGTTAGCTTTCAATAGATATGTTACCTGTGTGATTAGGAATCATTTAGAATAATCTATAAAATACTTATAAGGAATCTAGAAGAAGGGACAAAGAAGGGTTTTTTAGGCTAAATCTCCGTATTATATAAAATTAAGCAGTGCAGTACCTGTGCCTGTGTTTGAGGTGCTTCATCAACTAAATCTGCCTTGCAATTATATTATAACTTATGCTAATAGTAGTAGTCATTATAATAATAATAAAAATAACAATAATAATAATAATATGCTTCAATGGGTATTTTCTTATGCTGACATCTTCACAACCTCAGAAGTTATTGAAAAAAAAATCTATGTTGTGGAGTGCTTTTTAGTTCATTTCCAGCTTTTCTTCTAGCCCGTGCAATAATTGAGGTCACCACAATAGAATAGTGTTGCTTTGTGATTTGCTTCAAAGGCTTGTTTGGTTATTAAATATTTTAGCGTATGTCCAATTATGTCAAGTTATTTTAAAGAAGTTCTTGAATATTGCTGGAGCTCTTTATGACAGTTGGAATGCATTTTCCAGATCTTTGTGAAGTAATTGTTAAGATCTTTTAAATAATGCTGAGTATGAAAGCAGCTTTATTGGACAGCTAAATTACATCAGAAAATAACATGAAATGAGATATAAGTTTATGAATTTACATACCTTTTATAAGCTTTCAGCTTTTAAAGCAATACTACTTGAAAGTAGTTTACTCAGCTTTTGTCCTGTATTACTTGGCAAAGTATGGATTAAACATTAATTATCAGTTTGGACACTTCCTTTAGACACAGAATGTGGAGCCTTTATGTAAGGAGTGATCAGGTTGACCAACAAATTGTTGAAATAGACTGGATCTATTTATTATTCGGTTTTCCCCCTGTCATCAGCATTTGCTGTACTCCTGAAGTTGTGTGGGGTGCAGTAATGTCAGTGCTAGTTCCTAATTCCACAGCTGCTAGCAAACAAACACCTGGACGTGCTACATTGTCAGTGGCTGTAGGAGCACTGTTCACCCATCATTTGCTCTGTGGCAGTTGAATTTTCCTGTAAGAAATGGGAAAAAAAGCCCAGTTATACTCTGAGAAATTTGAGCATGACTGCATCCATGGTATAACCCCATTATGAAAAGCGCATTTCACTGCTGCTGATTTTTTAGGTGTGGGTTTAGAGGCTTTGATCAGGGATTGGGACCTTACTTTGTGCTACATACTTCATAAACAGCACAGGCAGAGCACATTCCCTGCTCCAGAGCCTTGGAGAGGCCTCCTCACGTTGTTCAGGAGGGTTGTAGCTGGATTTACCATTTCTGGATGTGCAGACTGCCCTGCTGCACTGTGGTATTTACTGGGTTCCCAGGATGGAGGAGGAATTGAGACTCTGACTCCATATTCTTAGAAGGCTAATTTATTATTACATTACATTACATTGCATTACATTACATTACATTCTGTACTATACCATACTATATTATATATTGTATATTGTATATTAATTATATATCGCATATCGCATATCATGTATTATGTATTATATATTATGTCATACTAAAACTATACTATAGAATAGAGAAAGGATACTTACAAAAGGTTTAACAAGATACTAATCCAAAACTTGTGACTCTCTCCTGAGTCTGACACAGCCTGACTGTGATTGATCATTAAATAAAAACAATTCACATGTTGGACAAACAATCTCCAACCACATTCCAAAGGAGCAAAACACAGGAGAAGCAAATGAGATAAGTATTGTTTTCCTTTTTCTCTGAGGCTTCTCAGCTTCCCAGGAGAAGGAATCCTGGTGATGGGATTTTTCAGAAAATATGACAGTGACACTGCACAGTTTCTGTCTGGTGCTGGCAGCAGCAACAGCTCGGGCTCCTGAAGCCCAGCTCCGTTTCCAAAACTGGAATCCCTGGAGTTGCACATATGTGAGGGGGTTGTGTTGTGCTGATAGCCTCGTGCTTGTCCTTTTGTTAACAAACCTGCCATTAACATGCCAGACTCAAGGGGCTCCAGCTCATTTTCCAGTTTCCAGCCCATCACAATCACCTTGATCTTTTGGGCCAACAAAAATCAAAACATCTTCTCATCTCAGTTTCTATTTGTTGTCACCGACTAGATAAAAACACCAAAAAACCTGAATTTTTTTAAAGAAAAATTATTTTATTACCACATTTTTGGAGAAGAGCTATTCCATAAAAAATAAGCAGTGTGGGTTTTTTTCTTTGTTAGATATCTGGATTATCCCCCTTACTTTGTGATTTTTAGGACTAATGTATTACACCAAAGTAACAGGCCATCTAGACAACCTAGTGCAGATTACAGCTAGCAGAAATTATCAGGGATGTTTGCTTGAGAAATGTACATGGAAGGAACATGTTCTCTGCTGTATTTAATAGCTGCCAAAATTCAATATAATGTACTAAATATTCACAGTGTTAGAAAAATGACAATGAAGCTTACAACTCTTGTGTTTTACAACAGTGGAATTAAAACCACAGCTGCAAAAGCATTTTTTTTTTTTCCCTACAAAATCTGAATTTTTCTGACTTCTATAAATGCAGCTAGTAAAGGCAGATCTAAAGTTCATGAAAACTGTCAGGTATCTCAAGTGGTGCAAGGTAGAAGAGTTCTTTTGTCACATCCATTTTAACAGCTGGGTCAGTAGAGCTCCTGCACACTGTATTTGTGAGCAGCTGCCTCCAGGTATATTCTATATAGGCTGGCTTGCTTTGGGGTTTTTTTGTGGGTTTATTGGTTTGGGGTTTAGTGTCTTTTTTGCTTTTTTAGTTTTTTTTTTCTTTCCTGGCTTAAGATTTAGTCTGCTTTTAGAATGGATAATATTGGTTGGAGCGTACTGGCCATTTTCTTTGAGAGCTTTTTCTTTTTCCTTGTTTTTAAGAGTCAAAAATAAATTCTCTTGCAACCTCTCCATGGGGTTCTTAGCTCATTAGTTGAAAATATGCCTGCAGGGTTTCCTGTGACAGAGTTTTTTGACCAAAATCTTTGTGCCACTCACTGCTGCTAACCAGAGGTGCTGTGTATGCTGGTGTTCTGCACAGCTCACAGATATTCCTGCATTTGTAGCACCCAGCTTTGATCCTGCTGCTGTTCAGCCTGGTGGAACTGAGTTCTTAAGTGCTGGACTTTTTGGCAGCACAAGCTGTCCCACAGGAAGCCCAGCACTCCTTGAAACACTGAGTACATTTTGAAGTGTGACTGAGTAGGCATTTAGACATTTGCCCAAAATTTTCAGCATAATCCCACTATTTGTGCCTTGATTTAAATCTGACTGAGTACTGAAACTTCTCCTTTTATTTTTGAAAGGAGCAGGAGTTTTTACACTTGTTGTGAATCAAAGCAGTTCCATCTTGCCCTGGGACTGGGGTGCTCTGCCCCAAATGTAGTTGCATTTCTCTCTGTACTTTTATTGAAAACACCCCGTGAACGTCAGCTGCTGTCTGCAATTATTGTTCTCTGAATAAAGAACAGCATTTCTTACCCACACACCTGCCCCACTGAGGTGTGCCCGCTTCTCCTGCACCCCAGCTAAGCTGCCAGACACGGGTGATTGAGGATCCTGAGCGTTCCTGGCCGTGGGATGATGAGTGCTGGCAGGCAGCGAGGCTGCTCCTAACGCTAATTGCATGTAAAAGCACCTTCCAACTGCAAGGGGGGCTGCTGGAGCTGCACTGCCAGGGAGCAACAGCTGTGGGGATGGAATTTCTTTTCATGGAATCCAACCTAAATGTACGTTTTGTTGATTTTGTTTTGACGTTTCTGGTGGCGTTTCTCGAAGGTAGGGAAAACTTTTTCCTCTTGTTACTGAAGCTGGAAGAAGAAGAAAGCTGCTTTCTCTGGGTTTTCAAAAGCTTCAGGAAAAGAGTTGCTCCACAAAAAGAGATTTCATTTGGATCTAACATGAGCAGGGTTATTAAATGCACAAAAAAAAAAAAAAATATAGCACAGGTCCTTTGTGTTTCCTTTTTGAGCCTCGATTTGATGTAGGTTTCTGGAGCATCACCAATTGATCAATAAAACATGTTAGACTGCATGCTAGTTCTGATTAATTCACACCTTTGGTACACAGTGAGAAACAAGGTGAAGCCTGGTGTCTATAAAGGGACTTGCTAAGTGCATCAGCCAGTTGTCTGCTAATGTGTGCAGCGTGTCTCAGAAGGCCAGCCCAGCAATTCCAGCCCTGGACACCCTGGTGTGCCCATGGCAGCAGTGGGATGAGGGCCCTGCCCCACGCTTCCAGGTCTCACTTAAGGGCTGAGGGGAAAAGAAGTCTGGTATTGCTGAAAAAACAAAAGTCTTTTTAGCCTGGACTGTTTTAGCAAGACCTATTTAAAGCTGTATTTTAGCCTTCTGTCAAAGAACTTTTTGATTGTGTGATTGAAGATTGAGTGCAGTTTGTCAAAAGGACCCTCTTGCAAAGCATCCTGTTTGTTTATTTTGCATCTTAGTTTTTTTTTTTTAATTCAAAATCACGAAGTAGTGACTGTGCACTGTAAGAGCTGCTTTTTTTCTCCACATTGGAGCAATCTTAAACATCCCCAAGCAGCCAACTTCTGATAGCAATGGTTCATTATTTTCTGGCTCTTTTAGCCTCCCTCTGTGAAAACTTCTGTGGGAGCACTGCTGAATTTTACCTGGAAGGATAAAAGGGAGAGTTTCACTGGCCAGGTGCAGAGGAAAACACAGCTGAGTACTGATTCAATGTACTACAGTATTTATTGCTGGAAAAGCTGGTTTAAGATCAATCTTTACTATCACAGCATTTTTTACTGCTGATGTATTCATGGGTATTTAGCACATTTGTATTTTGAGAGAACAGACATTAATAGCTATTAAGTAAAGTCTGAAACTGCACGGCGTTGTTAATTACCTCCAGTCATGTAATTTATTGAACTTACAAAACTTAAGTTCCTGAGTGCTACGGCTAATTATAAGATTGGAAATTAATCCAGAAGTGGAAATTACAGCCATACTTGAAAACATCTCTCAGGCAACTTTGATCATTCCCGCGTGCTTTCATCCCCAGGTCTGTACGAGGAGATCCGCCTGTGCCGTGCAGCCTGTGGAGAAGCTCACATGAAAACAATCTTGGCCACAGGTGAACTGGGCTCCTTTGCCAATGTCTACAAAGCCAGTATGATAGCTATGATGGCAGGTAAATACCCTTGGTTCTCCTTTTAAGCTAAGAATGTCTTTGCTATATTATTTATGAGGCTTAAAAAATTCCAGTCGTGGAAGTTTGGTTTTGGAGATGGTGGAAAAAATTTGTGTAGCAACTACTGCAGCTGCAGGTGGAGTAATGGGGTGTCACTCGTTTTGTGTCACCTACCAAAAACTGCATGAAATGTTCAGTAAGGAAATGCTGAATGGCAAGGGTTGTAGGAACAAGTAAAATTCATTGTGAAACATCTGATCAGAATATTTAATAAAGGCATTTTGGGCAGACACACTTGTGGAGGCAACTGTGGTCACCTACAGATAGGATGTGGGTAGGTGGCTCCCAAGCTTGTTTTAAATGCAAGGGGAACTTCCCAGTGAAGATTCATGCCAAAAGCTTTCAGTTTTGGTTTGTGATCTTTTCTAACCACCTCTGAGAGGGCAGCTCAAGAAACCAGCCTTCCAGAGCAGGACAGAGCTCCCGGGGGCTGTGCATACTTTATTACATTTTTTGCTTAGCTTAGCACCCATTTGATCCCAGATTTTCAGCACTACATTCTCTCTCTGCAGCTTTGGTACAACTTTTCCTAGCTGAACCAGGATTATAGTTCTGTGTTTTAGTGCTATGTTGGAGATGCAAAGTTGGGAATTGGCTCTCAGGCACTTGCTTTTCCCACTGTGCTTAAAAGTGGGCTCCTCAAATTTATTTCTAGAAGTGTAAAGATATACTGAGAACCACTTGGGTTCTTAGTATATCTTAGTCTGTCTTCTAAACTTCCCCTAATTTTTTATGTTAATATTTTTCCTCCTTTTTTTTCTTCAGGCTTGAAATTCTTACACTAAAGCAAGAAAAATGTAATCAAGTGTTGGTATTTAAACAAATATTCAGCTTGCTGCTGACCTCACTGTTACCATACACAATTCTGTGCTTCTCTGATTCCAGTGGAATGGAGAGCATTTCAGGCTTCTAACAAGCCCAGCTACAATGTCAATTAGCATCATTAGACACAAAGGATCAGTATTATGCTGCTAAATATTGCTTTTAATAAGAAGAGGTGTAAGAAATACACATTACCTCTTATTTAAACTGATGCACTAATCATTGTGATCACTTTTTGTAACACTAAGTAGTGAGAAATTCAGCTTGTAAAGCATTTTACCATTTTCAGAATTTTACTGGTGTAGTTTTTTTGAAATACAGCAGATGGCTCTATTGTTAATGATTTTTCTTGCCTAGTTATTCATTTTACAAGATACTTATCCATCTGTATATATCCAGTAATTTCCTTATTTCAGTCTTTTGCTCTTTCTTTGTGGGTAGGCATAAAAATAAGAATTTATTTGCACTCTACATACATCCATTGAGGACCAGGCTTTCAGATCCAACCTGTCAGAACTGCTGAGAGCCTCAAATTCCAGTTGAATTTTGTTTTATTTGTATCTTTGTATCATTTTGGGGAGAAAGTGAGTTCACAGTATGGTGGATTCAACTGAAAAAGTGGCTTTAGGAGTTTTTGCTGCCTCTGTCCAGTTCCTCCTGTCCTTTACAGCAAAATAAAGTTCCTTCAGCTGTGCTGTTACAAGTGCTTCTCATGTGTCATTGTGAGCTGAGTTTTCAAAGAATTCCAGTTGAAAATTATTCTAGAAAAGGGTTAACTAGTTTGCTGTGAGGGTTTGATTGGTTTGCAATGCTTTAGGGGTTTTTTAAATGGTCACAGCCTCAGTAATCTGGTGCACAGTCTTGCTTTGGCTGGGGATGTGCAATCCTCAAACTGTTCTTGCTTCACTGTCCATGATGCCAGCCTGGCATGTAGGGAGCACCAAATCTGGGGTTACAGAGGTTTGCAGTGCCTTGTTGAGCATGCACACAGTCACCAGGGTCCTGAAGCACAAAGCCACCAGGGGTATAATATATAAAATATATAAAATATAATATAATTTACATAATAAAATATAAATAATATACAATACATAATACCTATAGTAATATTAATTATCATTTATTATATATTATATAGTAAACATATATTATAAAATATATTATAAATACTATATGTAAATATAATATAATATAATATAATATATATAGTATAAAATAATGTAGTATATATTATACAATATATTATATTATATAATATATAATATATTATATAATACAATATATTACATAATACAATATAAATATTATATAATATATAATTTAACTAAATAGTACAAATATTATTAATATATTATAATTAGAGTTATATACAAATATAAAAATATAAAAAATAAGTAAATAAATAGAAATATAAAATATTTAATTTTATATAATATAAACTAGTATATTATATATAATCTTCCTCTATGTAATCTGGTGGCTCCTGACTCCTGTTTTCTCTGAAATAATTCTCCATGGCTACTTTTTGTTTACTAGTAAAGTCCACAAGGGGAAAGACATCAGAATGGGAGGAGGAGGCCCACAGGGATCCTAAATTCTTTTAACCATGCCTTTACCAGCTTGACTGACACCCATAAATTCTTCTGGAATATTTAAGAAGCTATTTCTGAGTGAAGGAGGCTGACATGCCTCTAAGGCCAGTGACTCACCTGGCAAGAACAACCTGAGCAGAGCTGAGGAGGGCAGGGTGGCAGGGAGCTCTGCGCAGCAGCGCCTCTGTCCCACTGCCAAGGGAGCACCTCGATTTTGGAAAGAGACAAACCCCTAGCACTGAATCGGGAATTTTGGGTTTATGGCCTCCACCGCCATCTCTTGTGCTTCCTCAAGTCCTGGTGGTGATTTGAGTGCATGAGCTTCTCAAGAAAACTGACTGCACTTTTGACTCTGCTTTGGGGGCAGAGAGTAAAGTAAATTAAAAAAAAAGTGAAATATGAGACAAAGATAATAACAGACAAAGCAAAAGTCAAACTGAGATCAGTTGTGAGTTTCTGACTTCAATACAAAAATCAAGGGTCCCCCCTCGGTGGCATGTGCATTGTATTATGTGTTGATGGAATTATGTGTCTATAACTTCAGCTGTAATTTGATACCAAGCCAGTTTTTAGAGCTCAGAGCATTTGCAAATGAAAGGCAAAGCAAGGGAGGAGGCTTGGTAACACATAAACAAAACTTCACTTTGTGTCTTGTTTTACTTGTCTGAACTACAACCATGTTGGGTTTATGGTGTGTCTGTTAAGGGCACACTCTACCTGTGTACATCCATCAGAAATCAGAAATGGCTCATTTCTATGGCTATAATCTATCTCTGAATGCTCTCCAGGGTGGAAAATGATGTTCAGCTCTGGGCTGGAGGTCCAGTATGGGGCTAGGGGCAGGTCAGGGAGTCCTTACTCTCAGGAGCGTGTGGGAAGTATATTTGGTGCTGACTGGTGACTTAGGATTTCTTGGCCACTGTCTGAGTGTAGAGGTGGTTGCAGTTGGCTGCTTGAAGGGGGTTATCAGGATAGTGATTATTGCTTATAGTTAATTAATTATTAATTATACTGGAATTATGCTGGGAGTTGATCACTTCCCTGTCTGCTGCAGCATTCTGCGTAGTCTGTGGTTGTTCTGCATCTTCAACATCACAACATCATTGCTGTGCTCTAGTTAACATCACTGGAAGTTTAGTGCAAAGAACTAGCTCAAAACACACTGTGGAAAACCAAGATGCAGCGTGGCAGTCTGTCTCAAAGTTTTGAATGATATCATGGGCTAACAAAGTTTTTGAATTAAGTGTAAGATCAAAAGATGGAGTATCTTTAAATACAATCAGCCTCAAAGAGGTTGGAACAGAAACAAGTGACTTCATTTGTTCTGGTACAGAATGGGGAGAAATAAAAAAAAGCCAGCAGTATGAAAATGCTGATAACAGCATGTTCAGTGAGGCACTACAAGGATGCTGCCTTAAATGAGGTAATTGCCTACAAGCTTAACAGTGATACTGCAGCTAATCACTAGAAATAATGTAGGCGTGATAGATAAGCTTGGAGTTGAAAAGTTCCAACAATGCAATCACAATATCCTCAGGTTTGAATTGCTGATGAGAGGCCATACAAAGACTAGTAGCAAAAAAAGAAAAAATAATAGTGGGGCTTGAGTAAGGCAGACCTTGAAGGAATGTGAAATGAGACTTAAAAATCTGTCTGGAACTCAGGAATATGTGTGCAGGGAATCAGAAGTGAAGGAATGATGGAAAGTGGTTGAGACAGGCTAGGGCAGGCTCTCATGAAAAGTCTTTCCAGTTCAGTCAACAGAACCCTGCATGGGTAAGTAGAGGACAGAAGTAACACTTGAGAGAAACAAAGATGTTGGGGGAAAAATAAAGATGCAAAGAGTCTGTGAAGTGAGAACAGAGTTAGAGTGCATACAGTGAAGCCTCATTTGTTTGCAGTTTGTTAAAAACCCAGACGTGCATGCAATGGCACATTTTGTTATGCATTTATTTATGTGCTTACTGAGCTGTGTGCCTGCCTACACAGCCATATCTGAGGGGAGATCTTTATTTGGGGCCATTCATATTTGTCAGAGCAGGATGCTTGGCAACTCCGCTAATTTTGTGCAAGGTCTGTTCTATTAACGGTATTCTTCTGTAATCAGAAAATAAGAATATATACACTCCAATGAAGTCCAAGAAGAAATACCAGTGTAAAATGGTGTAAAACTTGTCAGCTCTGTACCTGTTTGTTTGATTTTGTGTTACCCACACCACCACCTGAGTTTCTCCCTCCACCATCTCCCCTTACAAATAGAAACAATGCTATTCCCAAGCACTTCTCACCAGAAGAACACTAACTTGGGAAGCCAGAAGATGGGTTTGAGGTTGCAGAATGACTTGTTCTGTTTCTCCTCAGAAACCCCAGGCTTGTCCTTCTCAGGACAGGGGTTTGGATGCTGATTTCTGCTTCCTGACCTTTAGGAAAGGGGCTGTTCTTTATCCTCCACCCCTTGGTTGTGAAATAGCAGCTACAGACAGAATAACACACTCTTGAGAGGGGTCAACTTTCTATTAGCAAATT